AAATTTATTATCAGGACACGAAGACTTCTTCCAGAATACATGGAGGGCCAGGGCGGGGAGGATTAAAGGCAGGAGCTTAAATGTTACTGCCCAGTCTCTCTGTCTGCTAGCTGACTTTCCTGACATCCACAGTCCCTGTGGTGGTAAACAAGCCACCAACAATTCTAAGTTTTACATGTTACTGTTAAATAAAAATAAAATAAAATAATGTGCTCCACAAAATTGTAGGAAGAGGCCCAGAGGCCAGGGGTAGGATCTTTAGGATCTTGTCATAACAGGACTGTTCTTAGTGCAGCCATAGGGATAGAGAAGGGAGAAGCAGTTTTCAGAAGAAGGGATGCTGAATCCACAAAATAATAGGTATCCACAAAAGAGTAAAACAAAACAAAGCTGGATTCAATGATGTCTTTGATTGTAAATTTTCTCACATGGAAAGTGGTGATATACACTAAGAATTATTGTAGAGATCAAATAGTATAATATATATAATACATAAAGGATATATTTAAATGATAGCTGTTATTAAATTATACCAACCATATTATATGTCTTTATCACTAGTGTTTTACTCCTAATAATAATAATTTTATACAAGTGCATGTATAGGGTATGTTTTTCATATAATTATTAAATCAGAATGAATGACTTCATATTAGAACATTAACAGACTTTAAAAGCCACAGTTAGCAAAAGAGAGAACTAAGTTAAAATATAATTATAGAACTGCATTTCAAAGGATTAGCTAGGAGTGGTTCCCATTAAAGATTATAGAGTAGTTCAGCTGCATCAGAGAGAAGAGCTGAAATATAGAGTGTAGTGAAATTGAGAAGACTGAAGAAAAGGAGAACTGGAAATTATAAAGCAGAAACAGAAAATAAAATAAGTAGGAACTGCCCAAAAGAAGTAGTAGTATTCTGATCCCATATCAAGGATTGTTGAATGACATCATCTGTTAAGGCCTAGGAACACTGGGAATAAGAAAGTGGTGATTTCGTGAGAAGGCTTTCAAAGAGTAATGATGGCAGGAAAAGGATGAGAGATTAAGGGATCTATCTGCCCAGGTTGTCACAGTGAGTCAGAAACAAAGTCCAGACTAAAGAGATCTCTACGTCCAGCTAGGTAGTCAGTCCTTTACAGACAACAGCCTTGGAAATTAACCAAATGACTAGACTAGCAGCAAAAAAAAAAAATGAGATGGCGCAGGTCAAAGCAAGACACCTGCGGATGGATAACTGAAGGAGACTGGGAACTGTTCATGTTTGCACAATAGCCTTTGGAGTGACACTGTTACCTCAGCTCCCTTCAGCCTTACTCTAAAATAATGCCACAACTAACATCTAGTCAGTAGATCATAATGAAATGCCATTTAACATCCCTCACTGCCTGCATCAAAGGGAAAAGTACTGCCAGGTCCAGAACCGTTGGTGTGTCTGTCATTAAGTAGTGGTGACGCATGGGCATGTAACATCAGCCTCTTCCCTGACGGCAGAGAAATGAAGTGTAAAGAGTCTCATTCCTTAATGCCTTAGAATAGATCTAAAAGAGAAAAGTCTGCCAGCTTCGTTCAGTGACACAAGAGGATCTAAATAAGGACAGTGGAAGAGAAAACTGCAAGCTAGGCGTTGTTTACTTATCTGTGGTGCCTCCTGGCCTCACCTTGGTGGGACCTGCCAGCAGCCAGCCTGCTCCTCCCCTCTGCCAGCCTACCCCCTTCTACCCACCCTCCTTCCTTTTTTGAGCAAACCCTAATGAACAGATTCAGTTGTGTACTCATAGTATTTTTTTATATAGCTTGGAGAGCCTGTATCATATTTTATTCTAACTTGTAATATGTCTATTTTCCACCCTAAATGCAAATGCCTCCAAATTCCACCATGCATCTCACCCATCTTCCTCCAGAGTGTCCGGCACACATACACCTGGCACTCCTGGGAAGTGCCTAAAAGAAAATTGAATGAAGGAGCTTCTTAGGTGGAAACCTAGTTATAAATTAGGGAGTAGTCACCACTAAAATACTGCTGACAGCATCTGAAGATGTGGCACCAGCCAGGCAATGAGAGTCCAATGGTAAAACATCAGGAAAAGGAGGAGGTGCTGAAAGGATTCCTGGATCGCCTCTAAAAGCCCAGAGTCAGCTCTGCAGTGTGGGAGCAGCACAAGGTGGGGAGCAAGCTGGAGGGACAGGGCATGGATAGGGTGAGGCAAGTAGGGGACTCCCAGGGACACAGAAGTTAAGGGGGTACCAAAAAAACTCAGTCATGATAAATAAAATTATAATGCAATCTGTTATAAAATAAAAATTAATGCAAAAATCTGTGCTGAAAAAAAACTATAAGTTTTAAATAAATACACTGTGTCAGTGACTTTTCCTTTTGCCTCAGGCCCCTTTCTGGTTTCTGGATGTGTTGGCTAATAGAATGGAAACAAAAGGACCCTGGATTGGATGTCCCAAGTCCTGGACCCCTGGCTGGGAGCATGGGGTCATTCTCCTCATCTCTGAGATGAAGGACGTGGGAGTAAATATCAGAATCACTGCAGGAGTCAGAGAGTGTCTCAAATTGGGTAATTTGAGGAGTTTAATAAAAGGACTGTTTACAAGGTGTGGGCAGTGTGCAGGAAAAAAATGCAAGGAAGTGTGAAGTGTCCCAGGACCAAGAGCAGAGAGGAGCTGTCACGCAGCATCCTGAGCACAGAACAGGGGTAGGAGGACACAGACAGGAACAGGAGGGGCAAAAGGAAGACATCCAGCCCTGGGAGCAACCGGGTCTCTAAGGTCCTGCCATGATTTTAAAACTTCTCTGCAAATTCTTTGACACTCTTCCCACAAAAAGATAGAGGCGAATTCTCTTTCCATGTGACTTCTTGGAAAAAAGTTAGAAAAAAGCAAAATGCCTTCAGCCCATAGTTCTCTCTCTCTCATGCAAATGTGCCTTTGGTGTCCTGAGCCACCATGAAGAAGTCCAGCTACTATGAAGGACTGTGCTGGAGAAGTCACATGGAGAGACCACATACAGGGAGATGCCCTGGAGCCCTAGCTGTTTCAGTCCTCAAATGTTTGATCATCCCAGTCTGGGTACCAGAGGTGTGAGTAAAGAAGCCCAGTTCCAGCCACCATCTGACTGCACCATCATGAGAGAACCCAAGGCAGAACCATCCCATTGAGTACTTCCCAATACCCAACCCACAGGAACCATGAGATAATAAATGGCTGTTGTTTTAAGCCACTAAGTTTTGGAGTGAAGCATTATTCAGGAATAGATGACTAATACAGGCCCTTTCCATGTCTAATTTTCTACCTTCTCTGGGGCTCTGAACTGGGGAGTCCCCAAGTGCTCCAGCTATATGACAACCTTTGTCTGTGAAGCCCTTGAGCTGAATCACCATCTGTAAGGCATAGCGTTGGGCCCAGATAGCTATTTCTGAACTGAATCAACACCTGTACAAACAAGCTGACTGGTTCCAAGCTCAACTTGTGGGGGTATAGGAAGTGGCTAAAGAGCATATACTAAACACCTCAATGTCTCAGCCCTGAACCCAGCATGCTCTCACCAGCTGCTGTTAGAATTACGTATGAAAGATCAATAAACCCTGCTCCCTTTTCACTGCTGACATTTTAACATTTCTAATCATTACTATTGTGCAAACAAACAAGGTTCCTCTAAGTCATATAGGGGAAAGCGGTCATTTAATATTAAAGAAATCAGAGTTTCATTTTGTTGTTTTGCCAATATAAGAGTTATACTTGGCTGGGTGTGGTGGCGCATACCTGTAATCTCAGCACTTTGAAAGGCCGAGGCAGGAGGATCACCAGAGGTCAGGAGTTTGAGACCAGCCTGGCCAACATGGTGAAACCCTGTATCTACTAAAAATACAAAAATTAGCTACGCACAGTGACAGGTGCCTATAGTTCCAGCTACTTGGGAGGCTGAGGCAGGAGAATTACTTGAACCTGGGGGGCGGAGGTTACAGTGAGCAAAGATCACACCCCTGCACTTCAGCCTAGGCAACAAAGCAAGAGTCTGTCTAAAAAAGGAATTTAAAAAGTAATAATAGTTATATAGTAGGTCCCATTCATGTTTTTAAATATCATGGTATAAAACTGACCAGAATGCTGAATACCTTAGAGTTAAAAAGTAAACATCCATAACCAACTGAAAGTGCTGTAATTGCCAAAATTTGAACAATTTGAGCAACAAAATAAAGCAATATGATTATAAACCAGTGAATAAATTTCTACAAATCCATAATATAAATAAATAATTGAATAAATTAATAAATAGGGAGAAGAGACAAGTCTCCTGTCCAGAAGAATCCCAAATAATTTACGTTGATTCTCTGCCATCAAGGAAGGGAGCATAACTCTGTGCTTCACATAGTGACTTCCCTCCAAAGAGAATAACATGAGAAGGGGGAAGGGAGAGGTTGAGAAGCCTGACAAACGCTGTCTTAATCCCAGTCCATATCAACAGTGATGCATCACATTGGTAGTATCTACCCTGTGTACTGTCTCTTCTCATGCTGCTAATAAGGACATACCCAAGAGAGTAATTTATAAAGAAAAAGAGGTTTAATGGACTCACAGTTTCACAGGGCTGGGGAAGCCTCATAATCATGACAGAAGGTAAAGGGGGAGCAAAGGCATCTCTTACATGGCAGCAGGCAGGAGAGTGTGTGTAAAGGAACTGCCCTTTATAAAACCATCAGATCTCGTAAGACTCATTCACTATCCCAAGAACAGCATGGGAAAAACCCACCGCATGATTCAATTACCTCCCCAGGTCCCTCCCACGGCACATAGGGATTATGGGTGCGACAATTCAAGATGAGATTTGGGTGGAGACACAGCCAAACCATATCACCTTAAAAACAAAAACCTGGGATCCCAATTCACAATGCCAAAAGGAAAAAAAAAAATAGGCTGAAAGTTGAGTCATTCAAGAAACTGTCTTTCCTTTTGTTCCTAAGCAGATAGCTACTGATAAAAGGTTATATCTCCACAGGTAGCTACTCTGCCATCATCCTATCTTATGGAAGGTGCTGATTTTCTGAGACCAGAGGAATACACAGTTGACTGTTCCCCTACCTGCTCCTTTCCTCTTGCAACATGTGGATTAGCATACCCTCCCTTTTTCCCCTCCAGCCTGCTGTTCCCCTTTAAATATTGAAGCCCTTAAATTCATCTTTGGAGAAAGGCATGGACCGCAGACTGTTTTGTGATTCCTTGTTCTTTTCTTCCAGGCATATCCTTAACCTTGGCAAAATAAACTTCTAAATTAATTGAGACCTGCCTCAGATACTTTTTGGTTTACAATATGATGTGATGAAATGGTAATTTACCACTGGTAAGTTTTTTACCTTACTTCCTCTCATAAATCCTGATATGGTTTGGATGTGTGTCCCCACCCAAATCTCATGTTGAAATGTAATCCCCAGTGTTGCAGATGGGGCCTGGTGGGAGAAGATTGGCTCATGGGGGCAGATTTCTCATGAATGGTTTGGCAGCATCCCCTTGCTACTGTCCTCATGATAGAGAGTTATCAAGAGATCTGGTTGTTAACATGTGTGGCACCTCCCCTCTCCTCTTGTTCCTGCTTTCACCATGGGACACGCCTGCTCCCACTTCACCTTCAGTCATGAGTAAAAGCTCTGCGAGGCCTCCCCAGAAGCTGAGTGATGTTGGTGCCATGCTTGTACAGCCTGCAGAACCGAGAGCCAATTAAACCTCTTTACAAATTACCCAGTCTCAGATATTTCTTTATAGCAATGCAAGAACTGTATTAGTCAAGAGTCCTCTAGAGAACCCTGGAGAATGGGCTAATACAAACCCATAATAACCCAATCTAATCATAAGTAAAACAGACAAATTCCAACAGAGGGGCATCCTGACCAGTACTTCTCAAAATTGTCAAGATCATCGAAAACAAGAAAAGTCTGAGCAACTGTCCCGGTCAAGGGGACCCTTAGGAGATATGACAAGTAAATGTAACGGAGTAGCTCAGGTGGACTCCTGGACCAGAAAAAGAATAATTGGTAAAACCTAAAGAAATCTGAATAAACTATGGACTTTAGTTAATACTATTATGTAGAGATTGATTCATGAGGCCAAGCGTGGTGGTTCATGCCCATAATCCCAGAACTTTGGGAAACCAAGGCAGGCAAATCACCTGAGGTCAGGAATTTGAGACCAGCCTGGCCAACATGGTGTAATTCCATCTCTACTACAAATACAAAAATTAGCCGGGTGTGGTGGTGCACCCCTGTAATCCCAGCTACTCAGGAGGCTGAGACAGAAGAATAGCTTGAACCCAGGAGGTGGAGGTTGCAGTGAGCCAAGATTGCACCATTGCACTCCAGCGTGGGCAACAAGAGCAAAACTCCATCTCAAAAAAAAAAAGGAAGGGGGGCAGGGAATTAAACACCAATTTTGTTTCATATTATTTCACCCTTTATATGATATATAAAAATTTGCAGCCCCAAACTTGTTTTTTATTTACATCTTAGACATTGGAAGAGCAGAGCAGTCAAAGAATAATAGTGCCAAGGTTTTTTTTCTAACAAAATCTGTTTTTTCTCTAATCTGAAATATATGATTCTAAAGAAATAAATCATTTGTAATTGTCTGGGTGGGGCGGTCATAATAGGTTGCCTTAAAGTTACCGGCCATGTTATAGCGAGGCAGTGGGATGTGAAGACAGGGATGCATATTTCAAATTTTCAGGTTTAGGTTTAGAATATTTTTTTGCATGATGAGCAAACAAAGGAATAGAGGTACGTTCTATTAGTTTAAAAACATGGGGCCCAGGAACAACTTGATATCTATATGGGGAAAAAACACAATCTCTACTTCACACCATACATAAAAATTAATTTGAGATGGGTCACACACATAGACATGAGAGCTAAAACTATAAAATATGTAGAAGAAAACACAGGGGAATATCTTTGCAATCTTGGGACAGGTAAAGATTTCTTAGGTTACAGAAAGTGCTATCATTAAAAAACTAATAAACTTCATTAACATTAAACATTTCTGTTCATCAGAAGACACTGCAAGGATTCAGAAAGCAATGCCCCCAAGTGAAGGCTTCAGAAGCAGCCTCAAAAGTAAAGTTTCTCTGACTCTCCTGCCCTCCTGTCTCTCACCTCTCATTCTTTCTCAAGGCAAGCCATAGAAACGAGAATTTTTCTTCTACAAATGGTTCACAAAAACCAGAACCCCAAAAATCTCCAATGACAGCCATAAAACGTAAAATATGACTCTAACCTTCCCCTGCCTTTCTGAGTAAGAACTGGCCATGAAGAAATTGTCTTACCTACCATGTTTGATTGTATGTCATGGATCTACCTTTTCAGAAAGGGTCCTGGCCCATACCTGGGAGGAAGGCCAAGAAGAATCTGAATAGACAGGCATTTCTGGGTTCCCCTCTCTGTCTATTCCCAGTAGGTCATACCCTTTTTGATCAATCACATTTCTTTTTTTTTTTTTTTGAGACGGAGTCTCACACTGTTGCCCAAGCTAGGGTGCAATGGCTCGATCTCACCTCACTGCAACCTCCGCCTCCTGGGTTCAGGCAATTCTCCTGCCTCAGCCTCCTGAGTAGCTGGGATTACAGGCATGTGCCACCATGCCCAGCTAATCTTTTGTAATTTTAGTAGAGACGGGGTTTCACCATGTTGACCAGGATGGTCTCGACTTCTTGACCTCATGACCCACCTGCCTCGGCCTCCCAAAGTGCTGGGATTACAGGCTTGAGCACAGCTTTTTTTTTTATTGTAGACATCAAGCGATCTGCCCACCTCGACCTGCCAAAGTGATGGGATTATATGCATGAGCCACTGTGCCTGGCCTACCAACATTTTGTGAATTGTAAAATATATAATATGTAGGGAAGAATATATAAAATGCATATTTAAAATTTAAGTAAAATAATAAAATGTATTATTATACTATCCATACTACTACCACTCTAGTTCTTTAAAAAAAAAATCAAACATTACCAGGGTATTACCCCAGTTGCAACCCCTTCCTCCTCGTTACATAGGGCAAGAGTATTCATTCCCTTCCTTTTCTTTTGGTGATATCACTTACATATGTGTCCTTAGGTGATATGTTGCTTAATTTTGCAATCTTGAGGGGCAAGCATAAATTTAGCCTTTATGAAGATGCCATTTCCAATCTCTTATCTGGAAGGGTCAGAGTCTGGCTGTTGGTATCCTGGACCTGAGTGGAAAGGTCAGGGAGGGCTCTGCAGCCAGGATTTGCTGAGCATTAGATCACTTATTCTTTCTGTTTTGGGTATGACGGTCAGACTTCCGACTGTGTATGGTGTCCACATAGAGAGAATAAGCTTTCATGCTTCTGTCGGGTGAAGGATGAGGGACTCAAGGGCTGAGGAATGACAGGAAAGACCGTATATTGAGATCCCACAGCTTCTCAGACAACCTTTCCCAGTGCTCCTTCCTTCAGTGCCCTAACCACCTCTTCCCTCGTCCCATCTCCATCCGCAGTGGCAATTCTGGGCAGGATTCTGCAGCCTAAAGCAGCCTGGTTCATTTACCCACTGCGGTCTTGAGGCTAGGCTTTTAGGAGCCCACCAAACCAGTTTCCACAATGTTTCCAGCTTCCAAAATATTCTTGCTGTTGTTTCCTTCTTGGGTGTGTGTTGGGGGTTGGGGATGGGGGAACTTTAATGGAGTTTTGGGAGAGAGTGAAATTGGATGCTGGTTCAATCTGCCATCCTCACTTCACAAATATTTTTTAATTGGCTTTTTTCTTTATTATACCAAAAAATTATATGTCCATGGTTTTAAAAATGTTTAAAATATAGATAAATAAAAAGGAAAAAACATAAATCAGCCTTAATCCTACCATGTAGATAGAAACATGGTTAACATTTTGGTATTTATCCTTTCAGATATATGCATAATTTTTCTTATAAAAATAAGATTATAGTGTACATACCAATTTGCAATATGATTTCTCATTTTTAAATGTTATTTTTACCAGATGGAATAAGATTTCTTCATGTCACATATCACAAACATGTTTTTATGTCATTAAATATACTTTTTCCACATCATTTAAATGGGCACACAGCATTTTACTGGCATCAGATTTTATTTAATCAATCCCCTATTGATGGACATTTCTGTTTTTTCTAATATAGTAATTTACTATTGTAATAAAACCAATATATAATTAAGAAGATATTATTTTGGCTGGATCACGCCTGTAATCCCAGCACTTTGGGAGGCTGAGGTGGGCAGATCAGGAGGTCAGGAGTTTGAGACCAGCCTGGCCACATGGTGAAACCCCGTTTCTACCAAAAATACAAAAATTAGCCAGGCATGGTGGTGCACACCTGTAATCCTAGCTACTTGGGAGGCTGAGGCAGGAGAATCGCTTGAACCCTGGAGACAGAGGTTGCAGTGAGCCGAGATCACACCATTGCATTCCAGCCTGGGTAACGAGCAAAACTCCATCTCAAAAAAAAAAAAGAAAAAGTCATTATTTTGAGTCTTTAGACTTAAAGCTAAAGGCTTATGCCAATGAATTCTGAAAGGTGATATCCTTTGAGTTGAGGGTCAAGGATAAAATCAACAGACCAGGGAGAAGGTTAGTAACACATCTAGTATCAGAGGCACGTTAGACCAATTACTTTTCATAAAATTTTGAACACTCTGAATCAGATATGTTTCCCCAACATTCACCCATTGCCTTGCTTTCCATGTAGAGGAGAAATTGAAAGAAAAAGAATAGAAGCATGAGGCCAGACTGAGCAAAGCGGTTGCTTAATTTATGATACTAAGATGGTGGATTTTAGATTGCATTTCATAGCCCACTATTCCTGTCTGTGAAGACCTCTGGGTGTTCTGAGATCGAGAAAGGTCAAATTAATCTCAATCATGTGTCAAATTAGTAATCAGATTAATTCCATATTGTCACCTGCTCTTTGGCAGGTTTGATAAACCACATGTTAAATTGATTATGCAAATAATTTTAGCTAAATTGAAACATCTGTTCCACACATCACCAGATTTCAAGGTGAAAGTCTTCCTGAAGGTGAGTTTTCAGTCCCCCACTAAATACAACATGTCTTTTGCCTACATTGTGCATTGGTTTGCCAGCAATGGAAATTCGCCATTTGTGTCTTTCTTTACTTATTGCCAGGCATTGAGGTGCTACATTTTGGCAGCATTGGATGATAAGCTAGTTTGTTTTTCATACATAATATATGTTGACATAAACCATAAAATTGGGAATGAGAAATATGGCATGAC